CATCACTCTTACAAAGTGGGGATTTGGGGAGAGGGAAAGGAAGAGCCTGCCCTCAGAAGTGCCCTCTACAGGGGTCCAGTATGGGCAGCCTGGAAGGCCCATGACGCTCTGTTGCCCTGGAGTGACTGCTGGGTAAGTGCCCCGCTTGCCTGTTGGGATGACACTCATGACCCTTTCTCGACCCTGCCCGGTCCTCATACCCCTCCTGTCCTTGTCCCCTGTGCCTGTAATCCTCACCTCTCTATCTGTCCTAACCTTCAAACCATCTTTATTCAGCAGAAAATCTCAACCAACATGTGTTGAGCAACTGCTAAGTGCCTGGCCTGTTTTAGGCCCTGACATACAGCAGTGCACAGGCCAGGCAAGATGTCAGGCCTCAGGGAGCTTATATCCTGATGGGGCAGACAGACAATAAGCAAATAAGAATCTTGCCAGGCAGTAATACCTGCAGGGCAGAAAATCAAAAGAGAGCACCCTGGAGAGGATAACTGAGTGGTCCCTTTTTATTGGTAATCAGGGAGGACCTCTCTGATCTGTGAAGGTCAGGGAGGAGGCAGGCAAGCACGAGCTGAGGTGGAAGCATTCCTGACAAAGGTCAGTGCAAATGCCCTCAGTGAAAATGACCTCAACACTCTTAAACAGAAAGAAGACTAACTGGACAGGACAGGAATGCAGTAGGAGAGGGGGGCGAGGGAGGAGCTGAAGAAGTCATGGAAGGCAAGGGTGAAATCACTAGGGGCTTTGTAAATCGGCAAAAGGAGTTTGGATTTAATTGCAAGAGCAGTGAGAAGCCAGTGGAGAGCTGTGGCATGGTCTGACTTACACTTTAAACCTCCCCTCTGTCTATCATCACTTTGTCTCACTCAGGGCCCCCGTGTCTTGGTTTCGGGATGGGGAGACCAGGCTGCTCCAAGGACCTGACTCTGGGCTGGGGCATGAACTGGTCCTAGCCCAGGCAGACAGCACTGATGAGGGCACCTACATCTGCCGGACCCTGGATGGTGCAATTGGCATGGTGACCCTGCAGCTGGGCTGTGAGTTGGGGAGGGAGTATTGGTTGGCAATGCTGAGACATGGGGCTCTTGAGGGAATTAAGGTCCTGAATAAGCCCTCTGAAATGGGAAGACTGGGGGCTTCTCAGTCTCCAGCTGTACCCTCTGCCTCTAGACCCCCCAGCCCGCCCTGTTGTCTCCTGCCGAGCAGCTGACTATGAAAACTTCTCCTGCACCTGGAGTCCCAGCCAGATCAGCGGTTTACCCACCCGCTACCTCACTTCCTACAGGTGTGTGTATGATGGGGTGTGTAGGTCTATACATTTGGGTGTGCTGGCACAGTGTGGGGTAGGAGGCTGGGAGGAAGTCCTTAAAGAGAGGGAGGGCCCTTTTTTTCCTTTATGACCTCAGATGACTCCCTCCCTACCAGGAAGAAGACAGTGCCAGGAGCTGATGGCCAGAGGTAGGACACGAAGGAGAGCCTGGGGGCTCCAGCTGGATGCTGCAATGAGTATTTCCAAAGCCTAAGACCACATCCTCTCTCCTAGGATGAGTCCATCCACAGGGCCTTGGCCGTGCCTGCAGGACCCCCCAGGGGCTTCTTGCTGCGTGGTCCGTGGGGCAGAGTTCTGGAGCCAGTACCGGATCAATGTGACCGAGGTGAACCCCCTGGGGGCCAGCACACGCCTGCTGGATGTGAGCTTGCAGAGCATCTGTGAGTACCTACCCCTAGAGTTCCCCCAAATCCCCATCACAGAGATCCCACACAGACTCCAGAGTACAGCCGTCCCAACACAGAATTACCCAGAGTTCCCAAACAGATTCCTCCCAACATAGACCCCCATTTCGGCACACAGATGGCCCCTGTGGAGACTAAGAAGCCAAACAGATCAGAACCCAGGAGGCAGGGTTATCTTCTTCCCATAAGTCCTTCCTGTCTTCCAGCCCCAGAGCTGCGTCTTTGCTTAGAGGCCCTGTGCTGAAGGCAGCCATATCTGAAGTCCTCCCTGTCCAATGGAAGAAAGCCCTTATTGGCCTCTCCTTCCTCTTGATCTGTGCATGGGCTCTAAAACTATGGCTCCAGTTTGGGCTAACTTATCTTCTTCCTTGGACAGAAAGCAGAATCACTCGTTATTCTACTCAATAAACCTTTGAAAAACCTGTCTCCAGATCTCAGCTTATTTTATAAGGATGATAGACAGGTCTTGAGCGCTGATTTTGTGTCTCTGCCACCCTCAGTGCGTCCTGACCCGCCCCAGGGGCTACGGGTAGAGTCAGTACCTGGCTACCCCCGCCGCCTGCGTGCCAGCTGGATGTACCCTGCCTCCTGGCCCCGTCAGCCCCACTTCCTGCTCAAGTTCCGGCTGCAGTACCGTCCAGTGCAGCATCCTGCCTGGTCCACGGTGAGGCCTGGAGTGTGGCCCAATTTGGGGCCGTGGGTCCTGTCTCTGGTTTTTCTGTTCCTGGGTGTTCTGCATGGATTTCTGGCACTGGCACTGAAATGAAGCCTTGTCACTTCCACATAGAGAGGCTTCTCCATGGGTGCTGGGATTGCAGCAGGGACAGCAGACTAAGCCTCTGCCCTGTGGGGCTGTGTAACTCTGATGTAAGCCTATCTGTGGGAAGGCAGCAGTGGTTTGTTACAAACGACTTTTCTAGGAAAAGAAGCGTCATGCTTGCTTCGGCAACACACATACTAAAATTGGAAAAGAAGTGTCTTTCACCCAGAGGCACATCCGCATATACCCAGACACAGAACACTCATACCCAGATAAAGATATTAATGAATTCCCACCTCTGGAGATTCAGAGATGGGCTGCGTCATGTCTGGGGAGTGGTCGCCTCAGATAATATAATCAGTATTTGCTGAGTGCTGTCTGCATACCAGGCACTGAGCTACACACTGTACGTGCATTATCCCATTTAGGTGTTTTCACCTCTGTTTTATCAGTGAAGAAACTGAGCACAGAGAAGCCCAAGGTTACCCAGTAAGATCTGAACCCGGGCAGTCTGACATCACAGCCTCTCGTGTAACCACTCTGTACTTTTGTCTTCCAAACACTAGGTGCAGACCTGATACTAGGCACCCTACCTGAGGCCCAGGTGACTCTGTCAGGCTGGCAGGGACAGGATAGGGAGGAAGGGGTGCTGTTTGCACACTGGGACTGGGGGACAGGTAAGTTTGGCATTTGCAACTTGGATAACTCAGTGATAGTGATGAACCATCTTCCCTGCCAGGTGGAGCCAGCTGGGTTGGAGGAGGTGATCACGGATGCTGTGGCTGGGCTGCCCCATGCTGTGAGGGTCAGTGCTCGGGACTTTCTGGATGCTGGCACCTGGAGCGCCTGGAGTCCCGAGGCCTGGGGGACTCCGAGCACTGGTGAGAGACAAAGCCAAGGGAAAGAGCAGAGGCACCATCCCTCAGCACTGATCAGTTGGACAGGTCAGCACGAACAGGGCTGCGTGGCACATGCCACACCCACACAGGCGTGGCAATCGCTGTCCCAGGCTTTAGCCTTGGATGCCTGCAGCCCTGTCTTAGCTTAAGCCCTGCCCTTCAGCCTGCACCCCTGCTATATCCCCAGAAACTGTCCCTGCCCTTTCAGGCCCCACTTCCTAGGTGCCTCGTGTCTCAGCCAGGTCTTGGTCTTTGCTCCACCCCATGTGGACAATTCTCCTCCTGTCTTGCCTCTCTGCAGGGCCTCTACCAAAGGAGATAACAGCTGAGAGTGAGCCACATACGCAGTTGGTGGAGGAGCCTCCAGCAGACAGCCCTGCTCCCCCAAGGCCCTCCCTCTTGCCAGACCCACAGCCACTTGGTGAGCTGGGGTAGATGGGCAAAGGTGGTAGAGGATGGGGAAGTCTCAGAGAGAAGGGTGCACTGAGTTGGTCAGGCTCACTCTCACAGTGGCATGTGACCCCCCCCCTCAGTCCACAGGGACCCCTTGGAGCAGGTGGCTGTCATAGCATCTTTGGGAATCTTCTCTCTCCTGGGACTGGCAGCGGGGGCCCTGGCACTGGGGCTCTGGTAAGTTACTATCATTGGAGTCGCAGCCTCTGGTCCCACATGGACACTGAACCATAGATCACATCCTTTCTCACCCATCATGACTTCCCACTGAACATGTCTGCTTCTGGAACTACTTTCCCTTCTTCTGCGTAACTTCATGATTCTCACCGATTCCTCTCCTGACCCTTTACTAATAAAAGCTTTTGGAGGGTACTGGGATGCCCCTCATTGTCAGGAAAACAGCTGCCTTTTTGCTCCAGGCTGAGATTGAGACCAGATGGGAAGGATGGACCCCAAAAGCCTGGTTTCTTGGCCCCGATGATTCCAGTGAACAAACTTCCAGGTGAGTAGGACTTCAGGAGGTTTGACCTTGGAGATGTGTGCTCTCATCTTTGGTGCCTGAGTTAGGAGCCAGAGACCCCAGTCATCCTAAGGGTATTGGGTGGCAGAGCTGGGTCTCCTCCCTCATACTCAGGGTCTCTAGGCCAAGATCCAGACCTACTATCTCCTTCTGCTTGATTTGCTTTCTGCTTTTTCTAGGAGCCCCAAACCTGTAGAGGACCCAGCAAGGCTTCAGCTAATTTCACCTGTAACTCTGCCTTGCTGGTGTGGATGGATGGACAGATAAAACCCAGACAGGACAGTGGAGCCTCATGAGGGGAGGTGTCTCGGCTGAAGTGTTTTTGGAGCCCATTTCTATTAGACTGTGTTCTAAACTTACCAGTTTACCAGAAGATTGCGTGTGGATGTGTGTATGTGAGGGAGGGAACGTGTTCTCTGTATGTATGTATGTAGTAGGTACCTGGGGAGTGTGTGTAGGTCCTTGGCTCTTAGCCTTGCCCCTGGTGGGGGTTGTAAAGGTGTGAATAAAGAGAATGAGGAAGTTCTTCTGTTTATTGATGTGTCTCCCAGCTTTAGACTCGGGGCTCACAGGAGAATGCATAGAATTTGGAGATCACAACCAGAGACCATTGTTCAATGCTGCTTTATTATTTTGGCTATTGGGGGTCCCGGCCCACTTTCCCTACCAGCCCAGAATTCAGGTTGGGCAGACTGCCCTGGAGCTTCCTCCCTTGGCGCTCAAACCAGTGAGCCAGGCTGCTGTTCTTGGGGTGGATGCAGATGCTGCATCGAGACAAGTGAAGCCTGGGAAAGGAAAGGTCCAGAGTCACAGTAGTGTTTGGATATTAGGTTAGGGTCCAAGAATTAGGGTTAGAAGCTAGAGGACAACTGAGTTGGCATCAGAATTATCAGTTGGGGCTGGAGGTGGGATCTACATCAGGGATTAGGGCTGAAGCCAGAGTTATAGGTCTGTATCAGGGGCAGGGTCAGAGCTTACACGTAAGCCCAGAGGTGACAGTCTCAGTCAGCCTCCTGCAGTTCCAGCTGGGTGACCTTCCTCAGTAGTGTGTTTGAAAGTAGCTGTCAGGAGAGCTGAGTGCAGCAGGTAGTGCTGGATGGCAGTAGCACTGCTAGTGAATAATGGGGCCACATGTTCAAAGGGTTCTAGACCCAAAACCCCTCCATCAGACAGCTGGCAGCTGGCCTTCCTGGGCCCCCTTTCCCTCCATCCCATTAACCCAGGTCCCTGACCTTGTAGACTCCCAAGCACTCACCTGCTTCAGGGTCTGGGGTCAGAGGCAACAGTAGCAGCAGGAGGCTGATGATGGGTGAGGGCCCTTTCATGCTGCTCAGCCTGGAAAGTTCCTTCTTTCTCCTCCCTACCTTTTATCTGAGTGCCTTTTACCTGGGGCACCAGGTGAGTCAGAGGCAGGTGAAGATGTATTGCTTATTCTGTGACGGGCCCTAGCTGTCACAGATACCTGTGCCATAGACCCCTTCCTCTTTTTTGGGATTGCCATTTCCCATGGACTCCTAAGCCCTGGGCAGAGAAGCTGGGGGGAGGGGTAGTGCATGATGTGGGGCCTGAAGGTACAGTGACTGAATAAGGGCAGCCAAGGATCCTCAGTGGTATCCAGGGACAGACATTCATACTCGTACCCAGAGCTACACATCCGCAGTCATACCTCAATCACTTGATCATCTTCACGTGGTCAGAGAACCGTAGACGGAATCATACAGCCTGGTTAAGCTCGAGCCTCACTCCCGCATAGTCGTTTCCACAACATTCCAGTCACGCTAGCACACACGGATTCTGGTGGGGGTGTTGTGGCTGGGGTGGAGCAGAGGGCAAGCCAGCACCAACTTGCTTTTATTTTCCCCTCCCCACTTTCTGCAGTAGCCAGCTTGTCTTATCAGGAAAAATTGATGGAAATGGGTCCCTAAAGCAGGCACTTCTGGCTGAGGCCGTCTTGCCTGGGGCCAGTCACATTCAGAGAAGTTGGGGGAAGGCCCTTTTTGGTGGTATTGGGGGTAGCTTAGAGATGCTGAGGTGGGGGCTGCTCTCCCTGGAAAGCCGAGACAGGGAGGAAGGGTGGGGTGGGTAGGGAGGGCAGATGAAGGAAGATAAAAGTTCTTTGGTGCCAGGTTTCTGCTATCAAACAGATAAAAGAACCAACAAATTTTATCTTTTGGTTTTTGCCTTGTCCTGTCCCTGAAATGCCAGCTTCTTGCTAAAAGGGGCCTGGAGTTTTCAAGCTCAGGCCATGGCTTATTTAGACATCAGACTCAAGAGCTCAATTATGTCTCTTTTGTTCTATTCAAATTCCAGCCCTCTCCACTGTGGGCCTGGAGGAACACTCCCTTTCTCCACTCAGGTTCAGTAATACCCATTAACAGCCCCTACACTCTCTGCATTGCATCTGCTTGCTAAGGCCCCAACCTCCCACCTACTTCCTGTCCCTTCTCTCCTATTCCCATACCCAACCTTCGCTCCCCTCTTCCTCTCACTGGCCATGTCCCAACGCAAAGCTCCTCCTGTTATTTTTAGAAAGCTGGGAACTGCTGCCTAGGGCAGGGGCAAACTGCTTAATTTACTGCCCCTGACACCTTGAAGAATTTCCCACTCCTGGTCTGGGGACTTCATCCCCCAAGTCCTGCTGTGTGTTTGAAATGTAAACTGAGCCATAACCCAGTAATTATAAATTCTTATTTGGTTGTTGCAGGGGTGCCTTCTGCAGCATTTTCCACTGTGCTACCTTCTATGGGTCAGGACTTTTCTTGAGATAGGGACTCCCACCTTTGCCGGGCATCTTGTTCTGCTGCAGGAATGCTGTAACAATCAGGAGGGAGCATCAGTACCAAGAGTAAAAACTAGTCCACCTCTCCACCTCTCAGGCTGAACCACTGGAGCTTCCCCCTCCTGTCCAGGGTGAGGCTTGAGGGCCCTTCCCTGGAGTTTCACTTGGGGATACTCAGGAATTCTGACAATTTCCTGGTGAGGTATAGGCCTAGGGCTGGACAGGGTAATCTACTTTTGATAGGGTTCTTGATGTAGACATTGTGATAAATGGCTCAAGACCCTGGATCCATTTTTGAACGTGGCCACAACCCAGAGACATCTTGAACTTCTAGTACCAGAGCCCTTAGGACCTCTCCCACCCTCCAGTCCGGACTTGTGCTCCAGAGCTTGGGTGCAGAAATTGAGGTGCCATCGTCTTGTCACAGCTCTCCATCAGCTGTCTGCCTGCCACATACTTTGTGGTCTCTCCTGGACCAGTCAGTCCAATGACCCGAGAAGGCAAGAAATGAATTCTTCCGGGTGTGCACCCATCTCTCCCCTTTGGCTTCTCCACAGATAGGCTAAGACTCCTCAGCCAAAACCTGCTGTGGTTAGTTAGATTTGGTCCCAACCCACAAACTGGCCCTGTCTCTTTAACTTAATCCTTTGGTGCTCTTTTGGGTTCTGGAGTAAGTCCCTAACTGAAAGGCTCCCTGGCCCTGGGTTTAGCAGATGGCTTACTGGGTGACAAGACAGAAAGGGATGATAGGGAACAGTGGTCTTGAGTTCTTCTAGGGAGGTAGCAAGAACTGCTGGGTGGGTTGATACTGTCTTTAAACTTGGGATCAGCTCTGGCTGGTGTAGCTCAGTGGATTGAGTGCCAGCCTGTGAATCAAAGGGTTGCTGGTTTGATTCCCAGTCAGGGCCCTTGCTTGGGTTGTGGGCTGGGTCCCCAGTGGGAGGTGCACGAGGTGCAACCACACATTGATGTTTCTCTCTCTCCCTTCCCTTCTCTAAAAATAAATAAATAAAATCTAAACAAACAAACAAACTTGGGATCAGAGTGGAGGAGCTGGAAGTTGGGGTATTAACTATAGGGAAAGACCTCAACAGTCCCAAGTCACGCCCTTGTGGCAGGCTGAGAGATGCAGCTTCAAGGACTCTTCCCCTCCTCCCACAGCCTACTTCCACAATTCTGGGCTTAAGATATTTTAGATCCACTCCCAGGAAAAAAGATTCTTCTGGCGAAGTCTTGGCTAGGAGGAAGGTGGGTAGCAGAGAATTGGGGTGAAAACAACAATGTGAGAATCAGGTTGGTGGTAAGACTAACCCAGGACTATTTAGTTCCCTCCATATAGGCTTCTCACAGTGATAAGTGATGTTCGGGGTGCGGGCGGAGGGACGGGTGTAGGGGGTGAAGGGCAGTCAATGATAGTAACGAGGGCCTGACACGGATGAGGGTCCCTTAAATTTAACAGGAACCTGATAATGGAAAGGCACCTTATTGAGAAGAGAAACCCTGTCAGTTAAGGATACAGCCAGCATGGAGAGGGGCTCCCAGCTCAAACGGCAGCAGCGGCGGCAGAGTCAGGAGGGGAAGCACGGTGACTTCAGTTTAAATCTTTAATGTACCGGCTGGCTGGGCAGTGGTGGCGGGTGTGCGGCGGGGGAGGCCGCGACCTGAGCGTTGGGGAACAGGGCCCAGGCCGCTTGACAAACAGCTCATCAGGCCCCGCAGGGGCTCCAGCTTCTGCTCCCGGGGGTGTGCCGAGCTGTGGGGCGACCCGACAGTGGCATGAGGCTGGGCGGGGTCTCCCGGATTCCACCCCCCATCTGTCCTCCGAGACTGTGAGCCTCGTCCATGCCCCAGGAGGGTCAGCGGTATCGCAGTCCCCTCACCTCCGCTCCCTCCGCCACATGCGTAGCCAAGGGAAAAAGTAGAAGCAGCCCCAGTAGATCCTGCAGAGAGAAGGTAGAGCCGGGCCGGGCGGGGCGAGGCTGACCCGGTAGACTCCTCGGACGTCTCTCCAAGGCCCCGCCCCGCCCCTTGGAGGCAGTCCCCTTTACAGCCCACGCCCCTTTAGGGCACCACCCCTCCCACTCCTCCCGCTACCGGACAACTCGCGCCCCGCCCCCACCCCGGAGCGGCTAAATTCCTCCTCCGCACAACCCCGCCTCCACTCACTCCTCCTCCGCCTCCAGCGCCACCTCGTATCTCCTCAATCCCGACATGTCCCGGGCTCCGAACGTCTCCTGGGAAGCGGAATGATGGGATCAAAGACTTCCCAACCTCCGTTCCCCTTCTGTGTCATTCTCAGGATCAGTCTGATTTGTTCTCACGTAACCTGACGCAGGTGTCCCCGGGAAGACTAAATTGCCACATCGGGGTGCAGTGGGATTGAGGGTTTTGGAGTCATTAGGCGTTAAGAAATTCGGGGGTCGGTCACCGCAGGGGCCTGAAGCATTTAGGGGGTCAGGGCGAAAGCCCGTGCGGTCATGGGGCTGGGATATTTGGGGCCCCGGCTGAGGATTTTCGGGGGCTGGTGTCACCTGGAGGGGGGCTGAGGGGTCGGCGCAGCCTAAACTCCGCCTTCCCTGGCTCCACCCCGGAAACAGACCCTTACCGTTACGTCACAGGGACTCCGTCGCGGACTTGGGGTGGGGCTTGCCTATTACCCGGAAGGGGCGGGGCTAGGACATTTCTGTAGAGGAGGCGGGGTCAAAGTGTCACTAGGAGGTACAGGCATAGGCTATCACTAAAGGGTAAAGTTGGGATTTATTACTAAAATGTGAGGCACTGGACTCTCTTTTGTAAGGATGGAGTCAGATTTTGGAGTTCTACCCTGGGAGACGGAGACCTCAGTGATATGCAGCAAGAAAAGAGCTTTGGGACACTATCCAATTCTTTCTCCTCGCAATCTCCTTAGCTTCTGCCCTGGCGATTGCCCTTCTTTTCTGTCCCATTCTACTTGTACGACCCTGAACTGCGAAGGAACAGGGCCCAGTCTAGACAGGCCACACTGTGAAAATACTTGGCTGAGTGGCCTTGGCCAAGTCCCTTAGGCCAGAGGGTGATAGCCCTCCCTCTCTGAGCTGAGACCTCCCTTTCTGTGATTTTTGTTCTTACAGTCTTCAAACAACAAATATTTATTGAGTGTCTGCTACACTAAGGCACTATACTGGGTGTGGGGATACAGCACTTAAGAAAACAGGCACAGATGCTACCCTCAGAGGGCTTATCATCTGAGTTGGAGATGGAGGGGTTGAAAGAGACAATTAGGTCATTAGGATAAATCTGGAAGACTGGTTAAAGGCAGTTTTCCAGACTGTGGTGCTGTGATAAAGCTCAGAAACAACAATTAGTCCAGTGTGGGAGGTTGGAAATAATTGTTCCATTTGGTCTTCACAGGGAGGAAGGGAGCTTTGTAGCTGGACTGTAGGAGAAAGAGTGACCAGAAAGTGAAGTGAAAGTTCCCTCAGGCTGAAGTGTGCAGAATGGATACATCTACTCTCTCCCTCCATCCCACTCTTTCTTCCTCTCATACCTGTCTTGCTCTGCTTGGGCCACAAACGGACAAATGGCAGGTCTGTGGGTGCCAGCTGGGCTTTACTGGAAGCATTGCAGTCTGGGTGTGGAGGAGAAACTGCACTCACCCTTGCTCACACTCACATTGATACTCCAGACCCTGCCCAGGCTGGGTCGGTTCTGGTGCAGAGGAGGTGATAGTCTGGTTCTCCCTTCTGGTCCCTTGGTTCCCCAGCTGTGATTCATGTCCCTTCGCTTAGGGAGAAGGCTCCTTCTGGAGTTGTCATGGGCTAACTTCTGTGGCACTTGTTCTGGGGGAGGAAGGATACTCAAGGTCATGGTCTGGGATCTTGGACAGGGACTCAGAGGCAGGAAGCAGGGTTGGAGAGGGAGGGCTTGCTTTGGCAGTGTTCTCCTGCAGTCTCTGGATGATGCAGTCCACCCAAGGTATGCAGAGCTGGTGAGCCCTCAGCTTGGTGAACTAAGAGTCAGAGGTCAGAGAGAACAGAGCAGCTCTGGAACTCAGTTTCTTGGAAGGCCTGGGTGTGTAGCATAGAAACTGAGGACCACATCTAGGAACCTATTTCGGGGGCTTCCTTGTGGGGAGGGGCTCAGTAAGGAGAAGGGAAGCAAGCTAGTGAGCACAGGCTGCAGTGATAAAAGAGGTGATTAGGAGAAGAGAAGACAAGTCTCCACCCCTGACTCACAGGACAACAATACCCTATAGCCATCCTTGAAGAGAAGATAGGAACAAAAGGCACTAAAAATGTTCTAGGAATTGGGTGTTGGTTCATTATGAGACAGAGTCTCAGGGTTGTTGGCATCGCTCAGAGCTGAGGGTGGGTGGGTGGTAGTGTTGGGCTTGAGGGACTGTAAGGTGGGAAGCTCACAGCCCTGACTAAATTCAGGATACCTGTGTCCAGTGCCATAGCTTTAGTGTTCCTCTCTCCCCCACCCATGTGCACTGCCCTCTCTTCTTCCAGAAATCAGGCCAGAGGAGACAGAGCCTCTAGTGAGAAGGACAGCCAGAGACCCCTGCACCCATCCAGGCACTGATACATATAGGAACACCTGGCGTACAGGCACGTCTATATCACACAGGTACACACATAGGACACAGACATGCTCGCACCATACAAGCCCATGTATAAATTGTATAGGAATACACAGGATGCCCAGATATATATCCACCATACACAGAGACACACAATCACAAGGGCACACCCACTTGGAATACGTATACTCTCAGCTGTGAATCACAGCTGTGATTCATGGACACACTTGGACCTGGGTGTTGACTTGAACTCACAGTACCCTTCACGGACTCCAGGTCCCTGCTGTGCCCCTCATCTTACCATTTTATCCCCCGTCCTTCCCACAGGAGACTAAGAAATCAGTACACTGAGAGGAGGAGTGGTGCTGTGCAGGAGGCCGTGGAGGACGGATAGTGCTGGACAAAGGTGCAGAATCTTTGGAAGCAGCAGTGTTGCAGGATTGTGTCTGCTTGTGTGGAGCCTGTGTGAGACTGTGAGGCCGGATGGGGGAGAGCGAGTAGAAGGTGAAAGTGAGGGTGAGGGTATGTGTGAGCCTGTGTGAGACTGCAGCTCTAGCCTCTTTATGGCCCCCTGAAGCTTTCATTCTTTCTGCCCAGAAATTTCTTCCTTTCTGTTATATAATAAAGAATTTGACTGGCTCTCGTCCCTGGTTTCTGAGAGGGAGAATCTAAATCTTTGGAATTTCCCAAGTAATATGAGTGTCTATGCTATTTATGAGCCCCTTGAGTCTCACCTGAGTTTATACTAAGAGATGAGGTGACTTAGGATGGGGGCTGGTCACCAGAAAGACCAACTATGTCATTGGATGGTTGGGTCTGTGAGCCAGCCCAGCCTCTGAGGAGGAGGGCTGGAGATTGAGTTCAGTCATGTAGCTAACAATTCAGTGATGACTATGAAATGAAGTGTGAATAAAAACTCTGTACCCGCCCTGCCTGGTGTAGCTCAGTGGATTGAGCACGGGCCTGCGAACCAAAAGATCGAGGTTCGATTCCCAGTCAGGGCACATATCTAGGTTGCAGGCCAGTTCCCAGCAGGGGATGCACCACAAGCAACCATACATTGATATTTCTCTCCTTCTCTCCTCCCCTTCCCTTCTAATGATAAATCAATAAAATAAAATAAAAATAATTAGGTAATAATTAAAAAATAAGAATAAGTAAAATCTTTAAAAAAAATAAAATCAAAACAACTCTGGACCCCAAAGCTCATGGAACTTCATGTCTGGTGAACACCTCAATGTGCTGGGTGGGTGATGTACTTTATGTGTCTCCAAAGGGAGAGAGCATTTAAGACCTCCCACAGTTCACCCTGTGCGTCTCTTCATTTGGCTGTTCCTGATTTATATCCTTTATGAAAAAACAAATTGTAAGTGTAGCACTGCTGAATTTTGTGAGTTATTTTAGTAAATTTTGGAATCTGAGAAGGGTTGTGGGAGCCCCCTGGACTTGTAGCCAGTTGGTCAGAAATGCAGGTGGTGGCCTGGGGATGCCACTTGTGGCTGGCATCTCAAGTCAGGGCAGGCATGTTGAAGACCATGTTGTCTTTTGTTGTTGTTGTTGTTGTTCAAGGACCGTTGTCTCCATTTCCCCCCATTACTGCCTCCAACCCCAGCCATTCCCACCTCCCACCCTCGATCCTACTTTCCTTTGGTTTTGTCCATGTGTCCTTTATACATGTTCCTTGACAACCCTTCCCCCTTTTCCTTCCATTATCCCTTCTCACTTTCCCTCTGGTTATTCTCAGATTGTTCTTAATTCCAATGTTTCTGGTTATGTTTAGCCTGCTTGTTTGTTTTGTTGATTAGGTTCCACTTATAGGTAAGATCATGAGGTATTTGTCTTTCACTGCCTGGCTTATTTTGCTTAGTATAATGCTCTCCAGATCCATCCAAGCTGTCACAAAGGGTAGAAGCTCCTTCTTTCTTTCTGCTGCATAGTATTCCACTGTGTAAATGTACCATAGTTTTTTGATCCATTCTTTTATTGATGGGCACTTAGGTTGCTCCCAGCACTTGGCTATTGTAAATTGTGTGCTGTGAACATTGGGGTAGATAAGTTCTTTTGCATTGGTGTTTCAGGATTGTTAGTGTATAGTCCCAGCAGTGAAATCGCCAGGTCAAAAGGCAGTTCCATTTTTAGTTTTCTGAGGAAATTCCATACTGTTTTCCACAGTGACTGTACCAGTCTGCATTCCCACCAACAGTGTACTAGGGTTCCCTTTCCTCCATAACCTCACCAGCACTTGTTTGTTGCTGTGTTTATGATGGCCATTCTTAATGGTGTGAGGTGGTATCTCATTGTGGTTTTAATTTGCATCTCTCTGATGGCTAGTGATACTGAACATCCTTTCATATGTCTCTGGGCCCTCTGTCCTCCTTGGAGAAGTGCCTATTCAGATCCTTTGCCCATTTTTTAATTGGATTGTTTTTCTTCCTGGAGTGGAGTCATATGAGTTCCTTACACATTTTAGAGACCAAACTTTTGTCCGAGGTATCATTTGCAAAAATGTTTTCTCATATGGTTGGTTCCCTTTTCATTTTGCTGATGTTTTCTTTAGCTGTGCAGAAGCTTTTTCTTTTGATGAAGTCCCATTTGCTTATTCTTTCCTTTATATTTCTTGCTCTAGGGGACATATTGGTGAAAATATTGCTGTTTGGAATATTTGAGATTTTCCTGCTTATGTTCTCCTCTAGGACATTTATGGTGTCACAATTTACATTTAAGTCTTTTATCCATCTTGAGTCTATTTTTGTGTATGGTGTAAGTTGGTGGTTGAGTTTTATCTTTCTGCATGTTAGCTGTCCAGCTATCTCAACACCATTTGTTGAAGAGGCTATTTTCACCCTATTTTATGCTCCTGCCCCCTTTGTCAAATATTAATTAACCATACAGACAGGGATTTATTTCTGGGCTCTCTGTTCTGTTCCATTGATCTACATGTCTGTTTTTATGCCAGTACCAGACTGTTTTGATTACAGTGGCCTTGTAATATAGTTTGATGTCAGGTATTGTGATCTCTCCTTTCTCAAAAT